TATCAAAGTTATTCAGTGCTTTAAAAATCGGCTTGATCTGTTTTTGGTATTTAAGCACATTACATGTAATTTTATATTCTGTGCCTGATAAGTCCAATACCTTTGATAATTCTAGTTTCTCTAGGCAGGTCTGACTAGACTCTGTTACTGCTAGCTCTTACTAATAATGGTGCCTTGTTTCCTTATGCATTTTGTTAACATTTTTACTATAAACTCATTTCTTGGAATGTAATTTGTCAAAATTCTTTGAAGCCTTGCTAGAAGGTAGGTTCTTCTCATGTGGATGTATGTTTGTCTCTGACAGAGATCTGAAGGTACTACTTGATGGCAATAACTTTAAAATTAAATTACTCACTTGAGGATTTTTAATACTATGCCAGTTCACATGAATTTGTGCTAAAATTCGTAAGAAGGTCAGCTTTTTAGGGCCATTTTTGTCATCATAATCTAGCACCTGGTTCAAAAAAGCTCTTTTAGTTTGTTTTGGCTGGTCTTTCAGCAGAGGGCTAGACAATACTAGCATATTCTTAGTTTATCCTTGCACTGAGGAGGGGTTTCTTTTAAATTTCACACCTGTTGTAGGCCCTTAGGTCTTGTCTTCTGCCCTCTGTGTCTTGTAGGGTGTTAGAAACACAGCCTGAGTTCAAGAGGGTTTGGCATAAGTCAGACTGTCTCCTTCCTACTTCTGTTTTTTTTTTTTTTGAAATCTCAGACTTATTTACTTGCTATTTCATTGATTCATTTTAAAAGATCATTTGTATATTTCATCCTACATTTTAAGTTTTTCTAGTGATAGGATCTGAACTTGAAGGATTCCCCACATGTTTGAGAAACAACAGTGTCCAAGGAGGCAGCACACAAAGCCAGAACCACCTTTAAGTGTCTTTTTGTGGGAAGTACTCACAAGCTAATATCTATTAAAAGAGGTTAGCCAGGTAGAATATCCTAGCCACTTCAGGTACCTTAACTCTGGCATCCTATAAATCAGAGTTTATGATTCCATTAAAATATAATTTCACATTCCATAATTTACCATATAGCATTTCCAAGTTTAAAAACAAACAAAAAAAAAGGTACACACACTCCTTAACACAATACCACAGACCTTGAAAGACTTTCTGGCTTACAAAATAAATCTTACAATTAAATCTTTATAGCAGGATTTATAATGTGAATACACTAGAATCTGTTTGATACAGATTCTTTGACAATAAATTTTAAAGTGGTGATAAATAGGAGGTGAGACCACATTGAAGCATGCTCCGTAACCTCCAAGATGGCTGCCTATGCTGTTGCTCTGACCAGAATGCTCTTCCTACCCCAGATCCTACTCATCACGCTTCTACATTATACCCCCAACCAGTCTTCCCTGATACATGCCCAGGTTTAGTTCTCTTGCCATTTGTTTCCAAGCTTTGTTCACCATGATTTTAACAGTTTAACATAACTTGGGACAAGCGTGGTCTTAATAAATGTTAGCTCCCTTTCCTGAGCATTGTGGTTAAAGAACAGTGTGGGCCAGAGCAGTAAGAAGAAGGATGGCTTACTAGAAAAAGTAGAATTTAAGTTGGGCTAGAAGAGATAAGTAGAATTTAAATAACTGAAGGGAAGGGTTGGACTGAGATACAGAAGGCAGTAAGAAGACTGGCCATCTGTTGGGGGAGCAGCTGATGGTGAGGCTGGGTGGATGAGGTGAGACAAGATTGCAACGGAAAGTGAATGTCAGGCAGATGTTTGAACCTGACCAAGTCAGCAGCTACTTCCCACCCCTACCCCTGGCAAACCCTCACCTGTGCTCACTGAAGACAGAGTTATCCAAAACAATCTTCTCCAGTAGCTCAATCAGTTCATTAGGCAGTTCAGCTGTCATGAAGGCCTTGACAGTAACTGAGATCTCTTCAGGGTCCTGTGTTTCTGACAATGCTGTTTGTACCACCTGGTTTTAAAAATCATTTGAAAGAACTTGGTTAAATAAAATCAATTCAAGACTGTGTCATTAAAGCTAAGGATAAGGGAAGGGCTCTTCCAAGATAGCCTGGAATAGACCTGGAACAGAGAAAAATGGGAGATTACTCAGGGCAGAGAGGGAAGGGCATCTAAAGAGGTCAACTGCAGGGATTTCTCTGTTTGCTCTATTTTGATAATCAGTTTTTCTCTCACATCAAAAGGGCTACAGTGATCCTTATGTACTGCAATGATCATACTGTAAATTTACTCCGCAGCCAACAACACAGTGCACTAAACAGTAGTTGAAATGCATGCATGCTTTCGAATTTTTTTAAAGGCACTATTCATAGCAAATATGGCCTCCGTTTCTCTAATGAAGATACCACGGGGGCCTCTGGCAGCCCTCCTGCTAGCTGTTGTGGCCCAGCCCTCTTCCCGGGACCCGGTTGAGTGCACTCAAGTTCTGGAGCCCTCTGAACCATGCTCTGAGGGAAAGACCAACAAGAGACTGGCCACACTGCTCTTCATCCAATTATGACATGGTATCTCAGCTATAAGAAAACTTACAAATCAGGCATAAAGACATTTTTTCCAGAGTATACTTTCCAAATAACAGCAGGCTAGACCAGCACCCGCTGTCTTTGCACTTTGTACCAGGGGCCTTTGGTGACTTCAGGCCCTATCATCCTTGCCAAGTTTCTGGTGTTTATCAAAGGTGGGCAATAGCAGTGGCTTAATGAGAAAGAATAGAGAGTCTGAGGAGGCCTGATATAGGTGATATATGCCTTTGGCCATGAACTTCCACCTTGCAATCCTGAGGGGCTTCAATGTTAAGTGGCAACTGTGTACTCTGCACGATAAGATACCTCTGCGTTGTTAAAACACAATACCAACAGGCATGCAGGGGAGTTTGAGTAAAGGGGCTACCACAGTAGTTAAGTAACCGAAAAGAATATACTTGAGGGAAGGGAGAACTGTGACACAGCACACGAAGTCCATCCACAGTAGAAGATGAGTAGGCATTATGACATCTATCTAGTTGTCAATTCTTGACAACCTTAGAGCACTTTAAATACACACTGATTGTTTTCAGGGCAAAAGTAAATTTCTACCATCTGTTTGAGTCAACACAGGATGCCCAACCTAACGTTACCTCAGGGAACTTGTTCTTCTAAGTAAATTTTCCATAATGAGTTTCTACTCCAGACCTAAAAGCAGTCTACCAATGCCATCAAGCACTCCTTCTAATCAGAGGGGCACTGCAGGAGGTGGCTATGAATATTCAGTCACAGCAGACATAATGACAGGACCAGTGGCTCCACACAGACACAGGGAGACCAGGAGGCACCTGCTGGCTTTAGTTAAGTGCAGTGTTAAATCTGCTCTTCTCAGCTCAGTGATAATGAGACTGACTTACAAAACATACCAGGAGGCTGGACCACACCTAGAAAAATGTCTGTTGTCTGTGAACTTGGACTAAGATCCCTAGTGGAATTCAAAAAGCCTCTGTCCCAGGCCCAGGTTTGGATGAAAGGTATTAAATCCTTAAGTCAATCTGAGAGATGAGTATATAATAAACATTCAATATAACGTGGGATTCTATACATCTAAAAGTGTCCCAAAATAAAGTTTACTAAGAAAAAATAATGGTATAGGCATGAGGAAGAGTGGAGAAAACAGGAAGGTGAAATGCAGCAGAGACACAGGTGAAATACAACCCTCAAATTTAAACAAATGCACCCAGTGGGGTGGCAATGCACACAAGGGAGGTAGGTGCTAAAGCCCACTTGTGGGACCAGGGTCTTGTTTCCACACTGGTGTCAGCCCACTCCTAAACTGTGTGACCAGCACCTAGGGGATGGTGCAGAGTATGACGAAGGCACCATCTGCTACTTAGAGGCTGCAGGAAGCCTGCTGAGTGTCCAAGACCAACAACCACCTGCCAGGCTATACCTAGGGAAGGGCCCCTGGCTCTAACACCGCGCTCCAGCTCCAAGGAGGCACTGGATAGTCACAATGGGGGCATGGGGTTCTTGACAAAGGGAAGTCTAGCCAAGATAACTTGAGAGCCACTTAACTTCCGTCAGTGGGGACTGAACTGGAAAAAAAATTAAGGATCTAGCATGCAGCATGCCATCAGACATTCCTTTCACTGGGGCCGAACATCCCTGCTTCAGACATCAGGGCCAAGTCTGTGCCCTAACCAATAAATAGCTCCAAGTGAGCTCACCCTTGAGCATAAATACCATTTTTAGGCAAACTGCTTCTGGAGGGGTAAAAGTAGTGAAGGGTCTCAAGATCGCCTGTTCAGGTATCTGAAGATGTTTTTGATGTAATAATTAAACCAGTCACTTGAGCTGATTAGAGGGCAAAATGCAGGTGTGTGTCAGTGTGCACGTTTCTGTAGCTCACCTGGTCAATCAGCTGTCTCCTGGATGGGTTGGTCTCCTCAAGGACGTGAGCCCAGAGCTCTGGATCCTTCCGGTGCACTAGGTAGCGAGCCTCGCTTTTGAACAGAGAATTCTCATTGCAAACCTGAAATGAATACACTTGTGTAATACAAGTAGCCAACCAACGGAAGCTACTTGGGCGACCCACTCCTGTCAGTTTCCTCTGTCCCTGACACTCGTCTGGTGTCAGCCAGAGCCCAAGTGAGACATAGCGCTTTGAATGGGATGAGCAGCACCCTAAAGGGTTGACAATGTACTCTTCAGAGCGCCAAATTACCTCAAAATGCCCATTTTTCAGTTTGAAGCAACTTATAGTGGATGTGCTGCAGCTCCTTTCCACATCAACTTAATTGTCACGTTAAAGCTGCACTGCCCCCAGAACTTTCTGAGATGAAATGTTCTACACCTGTGCTGTCTGATATGCCCACTACTAGCCACAGGAGGCTACTGAATATTTGAAATAGTGTATGAAGCAGGAACTAAGTTTTTAGTTTTAATTTAAATTCTCACATGTAGCTAGTTCTAAACATCTCTTAAGTGTCATTAGACTAGCCTAGAACTGGTATAAAATAGCATATGCTGCAACATTTCAAAGCCTATAAACTTTAAAATATGCTTTCATTGAACTTGAGATCCTTTTCTGAATGCTATAATACATCTCCAAAAAACCAACTGTCCAAGAGGAACATTCCAATTTGTGAGGCACTTGCTAAGGCCTGGTGGGAATCAGATTTGTTGAGTCTGATGCCAGGCACACGGCTAAGTGATGCGTGTATGTCTGTGAATGCAGCCTGCTCACAGGTGCTTTGCAGGAGCAGGCTGTCCTGGCACCAAGCACACCGGCGCCCTGCCCCGAAATCTCATCACAGCTTTCCCTCTGACAGAGCAGACCTTCCTTAAAGAGTGTTTCTTGCCTATCTGAACTCCGCCTTACTAAAAGGTGATGTCTATCTTATATCACCTCATAGGACAGATGAGTGCAAAGATCTCCAAGATGTCCCTGAACTGTGCTTTAATAAAAAGGTGGTAAATTCAGCCAAAGGTGGCTTATGGTATCAAACTAACTCAAGTCCCAGCTTCACAAAAACTGGCTCCCCAGAGACTGCCAGGTGAGGGGCTATGTCCAACTGGCCTGTCACTTTCAAGGTGAGGGTCCAAAGCTAGAGTAGGATGAGAAACTGGTGACTTGTTCTTGCTCTCCAGCTCTGCACATTTCACACCCTTATAGATTCCTTCCCCAGTTGCTGAGTTTCTACCACATCGTCAAATGATCTGAGGTGCTGGAGGCAAACAGACCAACTGCCTACAAGGAGCTTACGATCAAACATCAGGTGCACTTACACAAATTTCAGGAGTTTTAGGTCACGTGACTAAGGATCAACAGCTCAATCTAAGAAAGTAATTAAGTACATGTAGATCCAAGCCAAGGCAGAGGTACACAAGAGGTCTGGGAGGAATGTTCCAAAAAATGCCAGCAAGAGCTCCATGGTGAAGAAGAGACGGTGGAGGGCATGTATGTGGGGTTGTCCTGAGAAGGGAGTCAGGAGGTGCAAGGGCACGTAAGCCAGAGGCACTCAAGAGAGGAGAGGACAAAGGGAGGCAGTCAGGCTGATGGATGTAGTGTGGCGGTCCACAAAGGAGCGCCCGGGTCAGGCTAAGGGGCTCAATTTTGCCCTCAGGACATCAGGTAACACAGAGAGCAGTAAGTGGAGGGCTAACACGTCAGATTCAGGGCCGGCCAGGCCTAGCAGGCCTACAGGTACAATACATACAAACAGGGCACGATCAGGTTGGAAACAAGGTATCTGAATTACAAGGAAACCGAGTTTGCAGAAATGTACCTTATGACCTGCCACTGTGGGGTTCAGAGGAGGCCCTCAGCAGTCCCCACAGAGCATGCATTTGAAACCCTTTCCCAGGAGGCCAGAGCAACACCCAGCAGCTAAGCGGATCTGATGCCCACCTTGATGAGCTCAAGGTCACAATGCCCCCGCTCATAGGCTACACAGGCCAGATGCGGGTCCCGTTTCTCACAGTAGCGGCCCACCACACTGCTGTCGTAGTAGGCGTTCTCCCTCAAGAAGCGCTCAGCGTTGTTGCTGCTGTCAATGTAGATCTTGGCAAGTGCGTTATGAGTGGCAGGCTCCTTACAGCCTTCCTGACTCCGGAACTCAAGCCAGGGAAGTAGCAGCTTTAGCCTTTAAAAGAAGGAAGAGCACCGTCAAAGTCTCAAAGCTATTGTCCAAAACCTCCAGGGCAGTCCCTGGAATGTGAAGGTTGCTTCTAGAAACAAAAAAAACTCTCCTTCCATTAACTTCAGGTTGCTCTAGGGACCGAGACAGACTTGAGTTCCAAATTGATTTCAGTTGTTAAGTTCCCCCCAAAGGTCTTCAGTACCAACAGCAAATAACTCACTACTAGATCTAAGATTTGTTACACAAAAGACCAGCCACAGAGATTGTCAGTCCTGGGGCCAGGAGGTTGCCACAAAGGGATCTTTGAGAATCAGTCAGAGATTTAACAACAAACACTAGGACCCAGGGGCAAGAGAAGATACCAAGCTAAGATACCTTACCTGTTTCTTTTTTCTACTTCAGCCACCAGCTCATCAGTAGAGAACTGTCCTCTCACCACCATGATTAAGTTTTTAATTACTTCTTCAGAACAATCCACATCAAGCAGCCCTCCAACCACAGCTGGGATCCGGCTAGGGTTGACCTAGAATGGTCAAGGTGGCAACTTTAGTGCTACAGACAGAGGTCATTGTTACAAGGCCCCCAAGACTTGGACAGTGTGGGCAAAAACCTGAAAGAGCTCTTATGATGAATTCAATGGTCTCTCCCCAGAAATTCATATGTTGAAGCTCTAACCCCCATTGTGACTATATTTGAAGATAGGGCCTTGAAGGAGATAATTAAAGTTAAATGGGGTCATAAGGATGGGGTACTAATCCAATAGGATCTTATAAGAGGAAGAGACACCATGGGCATGGGCACGGGCAAAGAGGAAAGGCCATGTGAGGATACACTGAGGAGGTACCGTCTGCAAGCCAGGGAGAGAGGCCTCAGGAGAAACCAACCCAAGGTGGTGGGATGGCACTTTGATCCTGGACTTTCAGCCTCCAGAACTGTGAGGAGTAAACATCTGTTGTTTAAGCTGCCCAACTGTGGTATTCTGCTATGGAAGCCCGAGCTACACCATCACCCTTCAAACTGACAGTCTCAGGCATGTTCAGGGGTCAGAGGCAGCCTCTCGGGTGTAGACTATTACCACGGACTGAGGCACAAAGGCAGCCAGGTGTCAACCGGGAGCCAGCAGCGATGGTCCCAGCAGTACCTTCTGAACATAAATCTCGATGTACTTCTGCAGGTTGTTGCGGTACAAGTACAGAACAAGGTCGTGGACAAAGTCAAACCGATCACACACGATGATGAGGGGAAGCTGGTCTGTGAGCTTGGCCTCCTGTGTGTTGGAAAGCACAGAAGAAGCCAGGAAGTGAGGGCCTCAGCACAAGGATGGCACTGATGCTGAAAGGCCCCGCAGGAGACTCAGGATGAGACTTTATTCTGGATATGCTGTTGTTTTAAAGTGTTTGTTTTTGAGGATGCAGTGTTTGCTTTGGGAAATAAGTGGGGAAAAGATAATACTATATGGTTAAAGAAAAAAAGAACTCTGCTAAATTTGGCAATAACATTCCAAATTGGTCCAAAACCAAACATCTTTTGGGTTAAGAAAAGCAGCTCATCATGCAGAAATCTGACCCAGACCAGGCAGCAGAGTGTGAGCTACTCTCAAGAACACCTGCCAGTAAGTGCTGTCCTTCCAGACAAGCAGCCCTACTCCATGTAACACCACCTGCTGGTGCAGGGGCTGCCCCACACACGCTTGCTTTCCATGCCCTTCAATCCATCACAATCATGTCTCCCTTGTTTGGCCATAGCTAGTGGACATTTCTCAGGTTCTCTGTACCCTTGCAGTTTGAGGTGTGGCCACATGGCCTAGTTTCGCTAAAGGAATGTGAACTGAAGTGTCATGTGCCACTTCAAGTCTTACCCATAGAAACCACCCATGCCAGTTCCTCTGTACTCTTTCTTTCTTGCAGTGGACTGAGAAGGCAATATTCAGGGTGATGTGTTGAAGATGGCAAAGCTGCCATCTGCCTGGTCCTTGAAAGATGGTGGGAAAGAAAGAAACACCCCTGACCCTCTACACCCACCCAGGACAGCACAGGAGAAAGAAATAAGCTTGCTTTAATGCCACTAGGAGTGAGTTGTTTGTTTCTGTTTTTAGCACTGAGTGGTTTGTTTCTGCAGCCTTGCCAAGACTAATTAACAAGGACACAGTTGGGTATTGATGAAATATAATGCAGCAATAAACCAGTTTCCTCTACTCATCTATCAGATAATTAAAAGTACAGACTCAAGTATCTTTGTACAAAGGGATCATAAAATGACCAGTGGACTCTTCCTAGAACTTTAGACCATAAAGTAGAGCTCTACCACTGGGGATCCAGGGACACTGGCAAGAACCCAGCTTTCCAACTCTTGGGCAGTTGGGCTGCTGGTTTGCTCAAGGAAGGAGATGATGCCCGGACACACTCACCTTCAGGAAGTTCTTCACCCGCTCTGGGTTGTAGCAGTTACTCTCTCGGCATATCCTCTCCACCTCCTTGACCTGGCCCGTCTTACAGGCAGCCTGAATGTATTTCAAGTGCACATCTGGATCTTGGCTGAAGTTCACAACTGAGCCCAGGAAGTAGAAGAGGCCTATAAAGAGAGACTGTTCCATTTTGTGCCCTCCAAATATCCACTTGCCTTCTCCAGTCGTAGCCCCCTTGCCCTTGACGGCCTAGCCTACAATGCCATAGCTCCATTCTCCAAGTACCCACAGCCTACTCAGAACTTACTATCTATGTGAAGTTTGTCTGCTTTGGTGTCTCTCAAAAACAGCTTGTCAGGTTTCCACCAAATTTGGGAGGTATAACTGGGAAGTTTTGGTGTAAAATACCATCTATGTGTGTATGTGGAATCCTTCTGGGGGGGCCCAGGTATACCTCAAATGGTCATCTTCAAGAATAATTCAAACTGAGGTAACCTATGACTGTTGCTCTAAAAAGACATGCCAGGAACAGAGAAAAAAAGCAATGGCTTCAAACAGGAGCCTCAAAATGCAAAGTCTGCGACCTGACACAAGAGCCACATGGATTGGGCTCCAAGGTGAGTCACAGAGCACAGAGGCTGATGATTTTCTAACCATTTCAGGGGCCAGTTAGGAGGTACCGGTAACAATAGTAGGACGTGATACACCAGAGAAGACCACTTTCCTTGAGGAGGTCTTTGACTATAACCTGGGGATAGAACTGGCAGCACTAAGGTGATGGTTTCCACTAATGCTATCCTGCAGCCTGTGCCAGCCCAGTGTTCCCCAGCTGCTGCTGTGGCCTTTCCTGCGATGGAATCTTCTGACGAGAAGGCCAGATCAATTGAGGGCAGGTCTTGCCTCACTCCTCCAATGTCCCAGGTTCACTAGGCACATGGCAGATGACCCACTAGACAAATGCACAGTCTCTGTCCTAGGCAGGCCAGACAGCCCTGTCCTGTCCCCAACAGACCCTCATCTGGGAAAGCCATCCCCCCACTAGCACACCTTCTCAGCATGATGCCCACAAGGGGGCAAAGGAAGCCAACAAGGGCAGGCCTGCCAGCCCAGCAACCACACACACTGGAGCCCCCACAGGGCTCTCACTCAAGGGAAACCTTGCCCTCTCAGGGCCGTGTACTCCAGGGTTTCAGGTGAACTCTGAGGCTGATTGTGTGACACAGAGATATACTTGGATCCACAGAGGGTCCAGGGACACAGGGGAATTCTAAGTCTCCCCACAACAATGCCAACCGATTTCTTCTTTTGCAAACACCAAAAAGGCTGGGTAACACACATGAGACAGCAGGAATCTTCTGCCACTGAGCAATACCACAGGCGGTGAGTGCTGCCTCCTGCCCAGCTTTTCAGGAAGACCATTAGGTTGGGCAGGCAGAGCATTAACAGCAGCCACAGAGATGTGGTCAGCCAGCAGCTACATGTTACCTTCGTAACTCTTGAAGGATTCAAAGAGCTCCACCAGGGACTGTGTGCCCAGCTGCTCATGGTACTTGGAGGCCACCTGCACACACAGCTGCAGGTTTTGTCTGATGTTGGCAGACAGCAGAGCATGCAGACACGCCACAGAATCCTCCACTGACAGGGATCCAAAGAAGCTGACAAGCCACTGGGAAGCAAGGAAGAGTTTGTTCACAACTTTGCACCATCTTAAATGCTGCCAACACTGGCAAAATATCTGGATTAATTTTTCCCTCTGAGTCTCAAAAATATAAAGAACAGCAACGATTCCTCATAGTAAAAAGTGAGAGCTGGGAGTAAACTTGGGGTAAGACACTGACCTCAACTGTTCAATGAGCTGTCACAAACCCTGTGACGCTCCGTAGTTGATGCTAAATCTATTCTATGAACTGGAATGCAACAGCTATTTAGCTTTTGCTAACAGTTTCAGACAATCCTGCTGGAGCTGTCAGCAAGAGGCTCTCTCTGTTAGACTAAGTCAAACCAAACAATGGGAAGAAAGAGGTGATACAGGCCCAGCCGTGTGGCTGAGCAAGTAGGGGTCTGTGTGAGCTGAAGGAGAAATGCTCATTGCAGTGATGAGGCTCACACATAGGGGAAGACACATTCCCACAAGTGCCAACATTGGAAATTTGGGAGCATGCGACCCTACTGACAAGGTGGATGCTACCTGCAATGGGAATTGCCAGGGGCACGCCTTACCTCAGGATTGAGGAGGTGAGTGTGGACCACAGCCCTCTTGATGTCATAGAGGTCGGTGTAGTGCTCTAGTGCTCGCTGTAGGAGGCCTGCCTTTTCACAGAGCTGGGCAATGTGGGCCCGATCGTAATGAGTGAACATCTGATTTCCAAGGATGGCATCTGCAACCTGTAAAACAGTGAGTTCAGTAAGAAAGCCTGAGCCATAGTAATAACTTTTTAAGCTCAGCTGCTCAACCATGACCCTCAGGGCACAGCTCTGGAACAGTGCTCACCGGTGCTTCCCCATGTCTGGGCCCCTGCCCACATCACTACTTGCATAGCAGCAGCAGCAGCTGCAGTCCCAAGCAGAGCTCTGGCCATCATTCCAAGCCACTGAGGCCTTTTGCACAAGGCTGCTCTGTCTTCCCAGGGTGCAGAGTAAGGTGCGTGTGAAAGGCTGAGGCTCTGCCCTCAGTGTTGTCACTGGGATCAGTCAAGGCTGTTGCTCTGACTTTTTAGCCCTCACATTCAGTTTTCTATGGTAGGGTCAATATGAGGACTCGAGTCTACCAAGGTCTCCTTTAATCAACTCAATCCTCAGTAGTAACAGTCAGAATCAGACCTGAAAATACAAATCCTCTTGATGTCTACTAGACTTCTCTGGTTAAAGGCAGAATTAGGAGTTGGGGGGTAACATTTGATAAACAAAAAACACCCCTAGAAAGAATTCTGAGACTTGACATTATGTTTAAATCAGGAAACTCTGGGCTAAGAATGGGTGAATCAATACAACAACCCTGCTGCCTTGCTGAGTGATCTGACCCAATACCTAACCAGTACCTAGTTTTGATGAGGTACATGTCTCATGGTGTCTTCACCCTCTTTCCCATTTCTTTTAGAATATGGAACACCAACCAGGTACAGTAGCCCCCCCATCCCATCCACGATTTCTCTTTCTGTGGTTTCATACTGCAGTTACCTGTGGTCAACCATAGTCTGAAAGTATTAAATGAAAAATTCCAGAACAATTCATAACTTTTAAATAGGGTGCTGTTCTGGTTAGTGTGATGAAATCTTATGCCGTCCTGCTCAGTCCTGCCTGAAGAAACTGGAACCTTCATACACTACTAGTGGAAATGTAAAATGGTACAGCTGCTTGGAATACATATAGTGGCATCTCAACAAATTACACACAGAAACACCATAATGATGCAGCAATTCCACTTCTGGGTGTATGTTCTCAAGAACTGAAAACAGGAATTCAAACTGACACTTGTATACCAATGGTCATACAAGCACTATTCAAAATAGCCAAAAGGTGGAAACAACCCAAGTCCATCAACAGATGAATGTATACACAAAATGTGGCATAAACATACAATGGAATATTATTCAGCCATAAAAAGGAATGAAATTCTGATACATGCTACAACATGAATGAACCTTGAAAATAATATGCTAAGTGAAAAAAGCCAGACACAAAAGGACAAATATTGTATGATTCCACTTATATTAAGTGTCTAGAACAGGCAAATTCATAGATACAGAAAGTAGACATTACCAAGGGCTGGGGAGAGGATGAAGAGTGATTGCTTAGTGGGTGCAAAGTTTTTGTTTGGGATGATAAAAAGTTCTGGAAATACATTGCGATGATGGTTGCATAATATTGTGAATGTACTTAATGCCACTGAATCGCACACTTAAAAATGGTTAAAATGGGGGCCGGCCGAATGGCGCGATGGTTAGGAACTGGCTTGGGATGCCAGAGGGCCCCGGTTCGGATCCCACATGTGAGGGCCAGTGACACTGCCCTCTACAGAAAAAGAAAAAAAAAAGGTTAAAATGGTAAAATTTGTTATGTATAATTTTACCACAATTTAAAAAAAAGTAAAAGAAATGATGTATCAATTGTAACTGTACCTATGAAAGTCTTGTACTATGGATTCTGTAAATTCCTTGCAGGGAAGTCCTGGAGAATGTCCATTGAGGCAAAGATAAACTTCTGGCACAAGCACAACCCAGCCCAAAGCTACTGCTTTTAAAGTTCTAAGTCCCACACCAACAGGTGTTCTGTCCCTTGGTTTCAGCCTAGAAATGTCACTTGCCTGGGGTGCATGAATCAGGTTCATCTCCAACAAGCGAGTCTGGAGATGCCCCTCAGCTGGGCGATTATTCTTCAAGACATCCAACAAGAAGGACGTACACTGCTGAATTAAACTGTTTTCCATGAAAACATCAACAATCTAAAACAGATCACAAGCCACATTTTTACCCAAAGGAAATTGTTTTATTTTCCTGTTGAAATATTTCCTGAAGTTTAATCTCATTTAGAAATTGAACAACTAGTACTTTTATTTGCATTTTCTTACATCATCAAAATTCACGTAACTCATGGCCATTATTTGTTAGTAGGCAATTCTGTAAAATTACATCACCAATATCACCAACGGGGCATTTTACTCGAGTAGATTAAAGGAAATACTTTCATAACATTTGAATCTCCAAATCCTCTAAAATACTTAAAAACAAAGGTATACAAGTATTCAAATAATAAAAGACTAGAACACAAGCTCCCCTACCTAGTACATCAGGTTTTTTAAAAATGGAAGATTAATAACAAAGAACTGAGACACTGATAACAGGAAAACAAATGAAAGGGAATCTAGTTGATGGCTGTACAAAGCCACAAAAAGCTGTCCCAAACACCCGTGCTCACCTGGTCAATGCTGGCCAATGGCTCCTCATCTTGCACTAGCATTTGAGAAAACTGCAGGCCCTGGTCTGGACTGATCCTCATTACACTCCTCAGCAAAATGATCCAGTCTGGGGCATAGCCAACCTAGAAGCAAGGGAACACCCATCAGGAAAAGAAACAAACTCTTCAGTGTTAAAAAAAAGAAAAGAAAAAAGGAAAGGAAAAGAAAGAAAGAAGGAAGGAAGGAAGGAAGGAAGAAAGGAAGGAAGGAAGGAAGGAAGGAAGGAAGGAAGGAAGGAAGGAAGGAAGGAAAAGTTTCCTTTTGTTCCAAACTTAGGTTTACAAAGAAATGAGGAGCAATGTTAGCATGTGTATGTGCCGGCCCTCTGCCAAACATAACATTCAATTCAGTGTGCCGACCCCATGTATACAGAGGCACAATCAACTGTACAAATAACCTGAACCACAAAGAAATCACCCCAACCAGTGTGCAAGCTCTGACCGACACCCAGCACAGTGACCAGTGAGCTGCAGGGACAAGGCCTAGAAGCCCACCAAGATCAGCAAATTAACATACAGAGGGTGTTGAGGAGGAATGGAGAAGAAGGGAGAAAAAGACAAGATAAAATTATAGGAAAGCCCCCGATTGGAAAGGAGACGGAAGGACTATAAACATAACACAAAAAAATAAAAAAATGAAGAGAATAAAATATGACCATTATCAATGAATGAGAGCACTTACACAGAAGGGTATTTTATAAACTTCAGAATTACCAACCACCCAACTACAAATTATCTGTGAATGCTAATGGTTAAACATGCATTACCTTTTGGGCATAGAGCACAATTTTCTGGAATTGGCCTGTTTCTGCAAAACACTGGATAACTTTGCTTGGCACATTTGCCCGAAGGTACACACTCAGAGCGAGTGTAGGGTCAGCAGTTTTGACCAAATCTCCAAGTTCTTCTGAACACTCCAGCTGTGGTGTGCCAAAGGGACAAGACAAGATTAGGACCAGAGGAATAGTGAGCCTGTGACATAATTCTAAATTGTGCTGAGGGTTATGATTTCACAGGTGTCTGTACCTTATCTTCTTTCAGCCACTTTTCTAAGAGGTGCTTGCGCCCTTGCTGAAGAACCGGATGGCAAAGTTCTAAGGACTCAAGTTTATTGAGCTGACCCTGATCAAGCAGGATTCCAAAGTACTGGAGCAAAGGAGAGGCCTGCCCAGGCTGGGCAGGAATACTCTGGAACTTCCGAACTGTGTCGCTGGTACGCAGGATTCCCTAATAATACATGGAAATGCAGGTCGTTGTGTTGTAATCACAGGTCATCACTTCACTTAACCTGCTAGTATAAAAAAGAAATCTGCCAATGGAAATTCTATACTGAATTGTCAGCCACATAAAGTCTTCTACCAAGGCAATGGCTTCTGCCTTCAGCAATAACCACAAACACAGTGATTCTTGGTCCCACAGGTCACTTCTACTTAGGGTCTTCCTTCTTCCTAGCTTGCTGCAGTGAGAAGTAGGCTTCTGAATCAGTCCTGCAATAATGAAGTTCTACTATATCATTACTTTCTAATTCAAAATACGTACTCAAAGTCTCAGATGAAGGCTAGAAACGGTTTGTTCATAAGCATCACTTGAAAGACAGAAAAAAGCCTTTCAAGGAGAAGCAAACTGAAAGCCTTTATTTACCTAGGAGCAGATCCAGTCCCAGGATAATTTGTCCTAATGAAATAAATTAAAGAAAATGCCTTAAGCAGTAGTACTGTTTGTTATACTCTAGAAGAGTGGAGAAAGTCCAGAGTAGGAATATGATTAAATAAAATAGGGTACAACCACTTAACATATAAATTTGCTAAGTTAAGGAGTTGGATGAATGGGAGGGGTTTGGGGATATGGGTGAAAAAGGTAAAGGGATTAAGAAGTACAAATTGGTATTTACAAAACAGTCATGGGGATGTAAAGCAAAGCATAGGGAATATAGTCAATGATATGGTAATAACTATGTTTAGTGCCAGGTGAGTACTAGACGAGTCAGGAGGATCACTTCTTAAATTATATAAATGTCTAACCACTAAGCTGTACACCTGAAATTAATATAAACTAATACTATCAATATAATTGAAAAATTGAAAAGTGGGGGGAAGGTGAAGGAGAAAAAGAAGTCCAGGTATCAAACAAATAAGCCATGGGAATGTAACATACAGCATAGGGAATACAGTTAATAATATTGTGATAGCATAGTATGTCAGATGGTTGCTGGAATTATCATGGTGATCACTTCTTTAGATATATAAATGTTGAATAACTGTGGTGTACACTTGAAACTAATATAATATTGTATGCTAGCTAAATTTTTAATAAAAATCTTTAAAAAAAAGTTGGGCAAGAAATATGGACAAGAACTGGAACAAAATGAAAAAGAGTATGTCACTGCAGCAGACTGTGCTTTTTGCTTATTTGTTTTCATTACTGTTATGCCCTTGGTACAAAAATTTAAAGCTGAAAACCACTAACACCACTTAGGTACTCCAACATCAGCAGTGGAATGCTTTTGTGATTTCATCTATTCTCAGGATAGTGCACAGTGTTCGTATCATTACCTTTGGTGTACACGCTGCTACCTTGGCGGCTTCAGCATAGTTCCCCTGTGCAAACAGCATATTGAATTTTCTCACAAATAACTCCTCTGCCCCAGCCAGGTTACTACGAATGGCCAAACGCAGACCAAGTTCTGGATTCTGAAGCACGTTGGTTACATAATTCACAATGTTATCTTCCTCAACACAAACCGACAACACCTGTAAGGACCCAACAAGTGAGATTGGTTCAGTCTAGAAAAGTGCTCCATATACACACACTGCCACATTCTGCTCACAGACGCTGAATATCAGCAAAGTCTAAAGCATGCTGAGTTGCCTATAATGTTGGCCCTAATAATGACAGGATGCACAGGAGACAAATGCCTAATGGTAACACAGTAGGACATCATGGTACTGCTACAGCATGGGATTCTACATAGCTGTTTAAAAGATTATGAAAGTATCAAGTAAGAAAAATATCAAGTTGTAAGGACATTGACCAATGATGCGTTCAGAATAACTATATCAAAGTAACCCACTTGGGTGGAACTGACAATGTTTCCTCTCAAGCTTTTTTTTAAAGTACTGATTTTCTTGTTTTAACTGTCTTTTTAACTTTAGTTGAGAAAGGTAACTGAGGTAGCACAGCATCTGCTTTGTCAATCCTCTCCAGTTAATGTGTGCGTGGCCTAAAGATGTCAGTGGTGTGTATTAGAACAGCTGCTCCACTGGTAGAAGCTTCATGCAGGAAGGGGGCTGCTTTCAGACTCAATCCTGTGTTAGGAATGGTGCTGTCTGAGAGGTGAGGTGATGACATGAAGGAGAAGGGAGACATGGGTGTAAGTTTAACAATACTGACAACCTTCCTGAACAAGGAGAAAAAGTTAACCTCCAGTCCCCAGTGAATGGAGAAGGGGGGAAATAAAACCTCAGAGATACATACCTGTCCTTTTTTGTTGACACCAATAATTCCAGAGGTAGGTTCATGTGGAGCAGTTACAAAGATTGTGTCAGCACTAATACGGTTCATGTAGATGCACACGCCAGACTCTAGGTCATACATATGAAGATAGCCATACTTTGTGATCAAATAAATAACACCATGTTTAGATCCAATCTATAAGATAGAGAAGAGGTGGAAAATTAAGAAGCCAAATAGGGAAGAAGAGCTCACAAATGATGAGCAATGAGTTTTTTTTTTAAATTGGGGAATTGGGGGATGGGAACAGTGCTGGGGAATTGGGGGAAGGGGAACAGACAAGTTGCTGTCGTTTTGTTCTTCAGTCTAGTTGTGGAGGACGTGGCTTCACTGGCCCAAGTTGGCACCACCATTGCGCTCTTCCTGGGCGAGGCAGATCAGTCGCCGGCTTCTGGACGGCTGCTCACTGTGGCTGCTGGCCGCTCACGCTGGCTGCTGGCAACCCACTGCCACAGGGGCTGCAGCCTACACCGTTGCCGCGACTCACAGCAGCCCAGCTCCAGGTTGAGCTGTTGTTCAGCATCTAGCTGTAAAGGGCAGTGTCACTGGCCCTCATATGTGGGATCCAAACCGGGGCCCTCTGGCGTTCCAAGCCAGCTCTTAACCAATGTGCCACTCGGCCGGCCAGAGAACTAGTTTTAAAGCCAATACTTTGCCCAGTCATTCTCAAAAAAGGTCTAATAAATCAGGCTACTCCATATACCTTTCAGTTAGAACTATCCTTTCCCCAGTTTCTCACCAAATCCCTTTAAGCAAGCTGAAAGTTTATAAAATTAGGGGAAAGTTCTGGGTAAAGACCTTAAACACTGTGTTCACGTTCCAGCCTGCTCTCCATCACCACTTATTAACCAGACCTTTGCCAAGTGCCGTGAACTCTTACAGAAAAATATTTAACACACAGGAAAGCCTGGTGGAGTGAGAGAAAGGCAGATGAATTTGTCCGATTATAAAACTTACAGTAATTACAATAAAAATGTGTGGTACTAAGAAATAAAATGTAGCATTAGGAATGAAGGAAGAGACAGAGACAAATGGAACTTAACTGACCCTGAAATAGAATCAAACATATATGTAAGAATTTAATATGAATGGGTAGTATTTCATATCAGTGGAAAACAGGCTTTAATTAGTACACAATATTGATATAACTAGCTGGCTATCTGAGGATGGGGCATGAGGGTAATGAACTGGATCCCTATCTTGCTCTTTAGATAAAAGTAAATCCCAGATGGGTCAAAGATTTTTAAATAAAAAATAAAACTAAGTAATAGAATAAAATATGGGTGAATATGTTTATCATTTTGGGGTGTAGAATTCTTTTCAAAACATGATACCAAACCAACATGAAAAGGCAAAACTTCCACAAGGTGGAACATGCCACAAATAAACTTTTGTTATGACTGGAAAAAAGATTTGAAACACTTCAGCACATAGCATTCTAAAACTATAAAGAGTTTGTACAAATAAGACCCTGATAGAAAAAATGCCAAAATCAGGAAGAGGCACTCAACAAGATGCATATGAGTGACTGGTAAACCTATTTCACTTTGACAGGAATCACAGGAAGAATGTGAACACCATCAGACACTGTCCAAATAACGGGGGAGTTGCTGGCAGAAGTGCGAGTGGACAGCATGGTCCTGAAGGTCAGTAACATACTCATGCCCTGAGGCCTGACCCAGCAGTTTCATTTCTAGGAGTTTATCCTTGGACTTTTGGATTAATGCACAAAGATGTATGGATGACAATGTTCCTAGAAGTGTTTACTGTAAACATAAACACCCATCAACAGGGGATTGTCTAAACAAATTATGGTACATCTACAAAATAGATGATGCAGATATTAAAATAAATACATGCATTTTATTGGCATAGAATGGTCTCCAATAAAGCAAGAGAAGGTTGTAAAGTGCAAGGTCAGTACAAAGCCATTTCATATGAGTCTATTTGTATATATTTGCATGCATGTAAAGATACTTCCAAAGAGATGGTCACAATTACCAGCAGTGGGAGGATTTCCATTGATATTTAATTCGGCTGTTACATGTATTAATATTATTGGAAATTTATCGACAACATATATTTTTGTGAGACAAAAAAAAAAGCCAATTTCACTTTGGAAAAAAATTTACATTCTTTGATCATGTAACTATTTCTAGAAACCTAGCTTAAAGAAATTATCATAAATATTTGAGAGCAGAAAAAAAATAGCTCAAACATCCCACGTTATGGTACATCCCTAAAAATAACTGCTTACTTTCCACAATACTCACAAAGAATGAATAACTTAAGGAAACACCTACAATGTACGGACTGAGCAAAAATGTAAAAAGAATAGATTACATAATCTTACACATATAGTGTGATTCCCAGTTTGCTCAGAAAAGGTTTATATCTAAATTTTTTTATATAACAAGTAGTAAGATCTTTGATATACTTTACAGCCAACTGATTCAGCTACAGAGAATTGTTTTTTATATTTTTGTACTACAGTGAACATCTAATCTTTTATAATAAAAAGAAGGCCTGAAGTTCTGGTATGTGAGATGGAAAAAGTCCTGTTTGTAGAAAAGAGTGCTCCTCATCAGAGAGTGTTAAAGCAGCAAGGAGCCAGAAGACAAGCCTCAACCTCATCTTCTCCATGTTCTCATATATCTACTCTGGCAACTTCGGAGGCACAAGAGGCCGCTATCTGTTGTTCCCCTCCACCTGAGATCTGTGATTCGTTCCATCCCACTTAGAGAGCAGCACATGCATACCTGCATAGCTACTGGGAAATCGGTCTGAGCTTCTGGAGGGAAAAACACATCCACAGCTTTCTTTACAAAAGGTTGATTTCCTGCTGCAAGCTGCCCGACTTCGATTATGTGCAACTAGAAAAGAGATTTTATGTTAATCCAAGTATATGTTCTTGGTGGCAGGCTGATGCTGACCAACACATGGTGGTGAGTCGAGCCTCAGGTCGATGCTCAGTAAGACTAATAAAGCTTACATTCAAACAAAACAAGACGACCTTGTTGGGAATGCTTATGTTATTCACCAACCTGCTCCCTACCACCAAGTATAACAGAAAGAACCAAAGCCAGGAGACCCGAGAAACACTTAGTTCCAGTATGTTGGGTGAGTCACTCTTTCCCTTTCTGGGCCTTGGTACCGACATTCAAGAGACAACAGGCTCCAACTAGGATTTGCTGTCCTTGCTAGCTCCGCCTCTCTGCTCTCCTGGACACAGCTCAGACTAACACCAATCAGTCAGTAGACAAGATCTCATAACTGAATGCCAAACTCATAAGACAGCTGATTGTGGCAAAGGCCTGAGTTTTTCAAGGTTATGCTGGGAATGTAAGAATCTTTGGAGAATCTGGGGGAAGTAGAGTGAATAAAGGGGCCCATCACCATTTTTATCAGAACTCTAAAAATTCCTTTTTTTTTTTTTTAAATTTTATTGTGGGGGCCGTCCGAGTGGCACGTTGGTTAAGAGCTGGTTTGGGACGCCGGCTCTGAGCAGCAGGGCCCCAGTTCGGATCCCACATGAGGGCCAGTGACACTGCCCTCTACTGCTAAAATAGTGAAAACCGTCTCTATCTGGAGCTGGGCTGCTGTGAGTCGCTGGTGATGGCGTAGGCTGCAGTGAAGCTGCAGTGGGCTGCCATAAGCTACCATGTGTGGCCAGCAGCCAGAGTGAAAAAAAAAAAAGATTTTATTGGGGAATTGGGGGAGGGGAATCAGGGGAGAGGGGAACAGCGCTGGGGAATCAGGGGAGAGGGGAACAGACAAGTTGCTGTTCTTTTGTTCTTCAGTCTAGTTGTGGAGGACGTTGCTTTACTGGCCCATGTTGGTATCACCAATTGTGCTCTTCCTGGGTGAGGCAGATCGGTCGTCGGCCTCTAGACGGCCGCTCATGGCTCTTGGCAGCTCATATCAGCTGCCGGCCGCTCACGCTGGCTGACGACCACACACGGTAGCTTACGGCAGCCCACTGCAGAAGGGGCTGCAGCCTACGCTGTCGCCGGCGACTCACGGCATCCCAGCTCCAGGTTGAGCTGTTGTTCACCATCTTAGCTGTAGAGGGCAGTATCACTGGCCCTCATGTGGGATCTAAACTGGGGCCCTGCTGCTCAGAGCCGGTGTCCCAAACCAGCTCTTAACCAACGCACCACTCGGCTGGCCCTAAAAATTCCTTTTATCTAATGAAAAGGTACCACAGCTGAAGCAAGTCTGGAAAAAAAATCACGAGTAGAGGTGATAAGCTGGAGGGGAGGCTCAGCAGAGGAAAGGACGTGTGCACACTTAAGAGGACTGTCTGGATCTGGCCTGGCAGAGAGAAGGGGGGAAATACCAAAGAGGCAGACTGTTTTGGCAGAAGCTCCACCATGACGGGAGAGCCCAACCTGTCAGCTAAGTCTAGGAGGTAAGTGAGCATGCCTGCCTTCCAAGCCCTTCTTTTCTCAGGGCTGCCATCCATCTGCACAGGGCATTTCTGGTGTGCTCTCTTCACAGGGAGCTTGGCAGGGTAAGTTTTGTTCCAGGAGCGAGTCTGTGGCTGGCCAGCTCTGTCTGTGAGGAGGTGAAAAGCCTCTGAGCCTCTGAGGTGATATGGCAGCAAGCTCTTTGTGCACGCTGATGTTTTTACCTGACTCCTGGTTTTCTATTGGTTCTCAACTGAGGACAGCATGAAGAATGTTACAAAAGAGACCAAAGTATCCAATAAGAATATTTAAGAAGGAAGTTTGGCAGCCCTGTATAGATTGAGAATGCCTTTTCCATGGGGGAAGACTTCAGGGCTAGTGACCAACCCAAAACAACAATTTTAGGAAGTGTTCCTAATAAGAGTGTACTGAGATATGGACTCTGTTTTGAGGCAGCATTCCAAGTGACAGATAGTGGAACCCCAGGTCTCCTGACATCATGAGCCCCTACACATTCACACCTCTACCATGGTAACCCTGCCAAATAGGTGCTGGACATGCCGCTGAGCCTAGTACAACCCAACTCCCTCCCAGGACATGGCCTGTCCTTTCTATATCTCCCTTAGGGAGACCCACACCTCAGCAACGTAGGACTCATGTGCCTTAGGTCAGGATGGCATGCACTGGCTCTCTCACAGCTGTGGCCTCCATGCAACTAATGTGTGAGAGCAGAAACTGTGACTCACTTACCTATGGCCCCAGTGCTTAACCCATGCTCAGAAGACTGTCAAAGAGGACTTAAAGGGAAAGGGACCAACCAATTATTCAGTAGCTGACTTCAGGTGACTAACTTTATGCAAAAGTTGGTTGCAAAACCACCAACATGTACAATAGGCAAGTGGTTCTAAATACAGCAAGAGCCTTTATTCTCATGAAGTACCTGCAGGCTGTTCCCCATACTCAATTATAAACTAGTTTTGAAATGTTAGTTAAACGACTACCGATTACACTCATACAGACACCTAACACAGACTAAGGACACTTTTCTGGGGGAAAAGATAAAGTAGAGAAGATTTTACCTTGTCCCCTGAGGGACTGCGTACAGCAAAGCAGAAAAGGGTGGCAGGCTTGGCATTCCCCTCGCTCTTGAACTCTGCAAAGGCAGCGGCATGGCCTTCTATGGGCTGTGAGACCTTCCTGTCCACAGAGTAGAGTTGCATTGCCCCAACCACACGGTTTTGCTAAGAAAAGACATGGTGCAATAAAAGGGAGAGAAAAGAGACAGACATAAATAATTGTTAAAATAAGTGTTTCTAAAATGAAAGTCTCATGCTGATATAGTTCTTCTAACAAATAATAAGCCTATAGAGGTTTTCCAGTCAAATTAAAAGAGTAGGTAAATGCTGTGCTTACTTCCTTTCACAACCACATCAAAATTACAGAACAACCATTATTGAAGATTGCCTGAAGTCTAGCTGAACTGAAGCCCTACAACTAAGGATATACAGAAGAAGCCACCCTGAGACTGGTAGGAGGGGCAGAGATGTAGAACAGGCTGGTCTCATACTCACATATGACCATTAAAAATCAGGAGTGATATCTAGGCTGTGGAGGTCCCCCCAGAGGAGTGAGAGTCCCAGCTCCACACCAGGCTCCTCAGCCCAGGGTTCCAGTGCCCGGGAGAGAAGTCCCCATAATTTCTGGCTGTGAAAACCAGAGGAGATTGTGGCTAAGTGAGACAAGAGCAGCTGCAGTCCCAGGTGATCCTCTTAAAGGGCCTGTGCACAGACTTACTCACTGATGGACTCACTTGCTCTGAGCTCAAGCACAGGGGCAGGAGCTCAAAAGGCACCAGGGACATACGGGGAGGAAGTGAATTGTCTGGCTTCAAGGTGAGGGCTGGAGGGACAGCTTTCTCCCAGATGGAGGAGATGGTGGAATCCATTGTTTCTTTGTTGAGCCCCTCCCCACCCCGCCCCAGTGTGCAGATGCACACGGCCACCATATTTGAGTGCCTATCAACTTGGGTTACACCATTCATTCACCCCGCCCTAGTGATTCCCAGAGACCCCACACCCCACCCAAGCTGCTTCCAGCAGCATTTCCATACATATGGCCTGTCTTGGTTCATGTAGTGGACTTTCCTAAAATTTCTCAAAGGTTCATGAAACCCAAACAAGCAGCATCTGGCTTCAGCATGTCCCGTACCTCTGACTGAGCAGCTCAAAGCCCAACACTAGTGGCAGTGGGCCTCAGTTTGCAGCTTGGCCTCTCAAGGCACCTCTAAGTGCAGCACAGGTGGCGGCCATCTGAGGATTGCTTTGTGGCTCCTACCAAGTGGCCCTAGGCACGCACTGGCTGCAGCTGAACTTGGCCTGCATCAGGGCCCCTCCCTGGAGGCCCCAGGGTTGGCATGCCTGGTGGTCAGCTTCAGACCAGGCCAGAGCATCACCTGGCCACCTTCAAGGACAACACACCCAAAGGGCACACTGTGCAGGCACCAAAGCCCTGCTAAAGCAAATCCTGCTCTGTAGGGTCAGCCTCTGCACCACAGCTCCTCTACTGTACTCACAGCCAGTCTTCACAACCAATAAGCCTGAGATCAATCCCTCCTATTGATCTGCAAACAGCAACTAAGGCTCAACTACAACAGGAGGGCACACACAACCCACACATGGGACACACCTGTAGCACCCAGCTCAGGTGACCAGGGAGACTGTGCTACTGGGCCCCACAGGACATGTATTACATAGGGCCTCCTAAGACTTGGGAAGCATGGCAGACCTACCTAATACATAGAAACAAACACAGGGAGGCAGTGAAAATAGGAAGACAAAGAAACATGTCCCAAATAAAACAAAAGAACAAAGCTCCAGAAAAAGACTAAAATGGAGACAACTAATCTACCAGACGTAGGATTCAAAACACTGGTTATAAAAATGCTCAATGATCTCAGGGAGAACCTCAACAAAAAGATAGGAAACATAAAAAGGAACCAGTAAGAAATAAAAAAATACCACAGCTGAAATGAAGAATATATTAGAGGCAATCAGCAGTAATTTAGATGAAGTAGAGGAACGAATCAGCAATTTAGAAGATAAGGTAGCAGAAAACACCCAAACAGAATAGCAAAAAGAAAAAAAAACATGAGGAGAGTTTAAGGGGTCTCTGGGACAACATCAAGCATACCAACATTCACATCATAGGAGTACCAGAGAGAGAAGAGAGCAAGGAATTGAAAACCTATTTGAAGAAATAATGACAGAAAACTCCCCTAACCTTGTAAAGTAAATGGATATACAAGCCTAGAAAGTGCAGAGTCCCAAACAAGATGACAAGATGAGCCCCAAGAGGCCCACACCAAGACACATCATAATTAAAATGCCAAAGGTTAATGACAAAGAAAGAATCTTAAAAGCAGCAAGAGAAAAGCAGTTAGTTACCTACAAGGGAGCTCCCATAAAAGATTATCAGATGATTTTTCAATAGAATCTTTGAGGGCCAGAAAGGATTGGCAGGAAATATTCAAAGTGATGAAAAAAAAGCAAGGACCTACAACCAAGATTACTCTACCCAGCAAAGCTATCATTTAGAATCAGAGGACAGATAAAGAGCTTCCCAGACAAGAAAAAGCTAAAGGAGTTCATCATCACTAAACCAGTATTATAAGGAATCTTAAAGGGACTTCTTTAAGACCAAAAAATAAAAATGATAAAAAATAAAATGGCAATAATTACATATCTATGAACAATTACTTTAAATGTAAATGGATAAAATGTTCCAATCCAAGAGACTCACTTCAGATTGACAGACACACACAGACTGAAAGTAAAGGGATGGGGAAAAGATATTTCATGAAAATGGAAACAGAAAAAGGAGGAGGAGGGGGAGGAGGAGGAGGCGGTGGCAGAAAAGCAGCAGCAGCAGAAACTGGAGTAGCAATACTTATACCAGACAAAAGAGATTTTAAAACAAGGGCTATAACAAGAGATAAAGAAAGACCCAGTAATCCCACTTCTGGGTATTCATCCAAAGAAACCCACACGCTACTTCCAGGGGACATGTGCATCCATATGGTCATTGCAGCATTGTTTACAGTGGCCAAGATGTGGAGGCAGCCTGGGTGTCATCGATGGATAAATGGATAAAGAGTAGGTGGTACATATATATAATGGAATATTGCTTGGGCATGGAGCAAACTGGGTTTTTGCCATCTGTGGTGGCACGGATGGACCTGGAAGGTATTGTGCTGAGTGAAGTATGTCAGACAGAGAAAGACAGATGCAATGTGATTTCACTGATATGTGGAATCTAAAGAACAAAATAAACAAAACAGAAACAAACTCATAGATACAGAGAACATTTTGATGCTTGCCAGATGGGAGGGGGGTTGAGAGGGTGGGTAAAACACAGAAGGGATTAAGAAGTACAAATTGGTTGTTACAAAGTAGTCATGGGGGTGCAGGGTATGCATGAGAAATATATTCAATAATATTGTAATAACTATGTATGGTGTCAGATGGGTACTAGATTTATTGAGGTGATAGACGGGAGGGAGGCTGGTGGGCAGGGTGAAAAAGGTAAAGGGATTAAGAAGTACAAATTGGTAGTTACAAAACAGTCATGGGATGTAAAGCAAAGCATAGGAAATATAGTCAATAAAATGGTAGTAACTATGTATAGTGTCAGGTGAGTACTAGACTAGTCAGGGGGATAACTTCTTAAATTATATAAATGTCTAACCACTATGCTGTTCACCTGAAATTAATATAATATTGAATGTCAACTATAATTGAAAAATTAAAAAGTGGGGGAAGGTGAATAAGAGGTTCAAATTTCCATGTATGAAATAAAAAGTCATGGGGGTGTAATGTACAGCATAGGAAATATAGTCAGTAATATTGTGATAGGGTGGTATAGTGTCAGATGGTTGCTGGACTTATCATGGTGATCACTTCTTTAGGTATATAAATGTTGAATAACGATGGTATATACCTGAAACTAATACAATACTGTATGTTAGCTAAATTTTAATAAAAATTTTTAAAAAAAGAAAAAAAAAAAAAGGAAGTACCAGGAAGTGCCAGCCAATTTACCCAGATGCTGGCAAGTTTTCCCACCACAAAAAGAAATAATTATGTGACATGATAGAGGTGTTAGCTAAGGTTATGGTGGTACTCATGTTGCAATACATTAATGTATCAAATGAACACACTGTATATCTTAAACTTACACAATGTTATGTGTCAACTATATCTCAATAAAAAATGAGCCTATTGTAATTAAAAGGCATGATATAACTGAATTTGATGTGGAAAGAAGGCCACAAAGCACTACAAGATAGGAAAAAAGAAGACTATGAAATAGTAAGATACAGTAAGAAGATTCCAATTTAAGTATAATGTGTGTTTGTGTGTGCATACACACAGCTATATATACATGTGACTATAATATATGTAAGTGTGTAATTTACACACACACACATACATTCACACACATTCATAGAAAGTAAGTCTTGGGAGGAAAACCTCCAAAGTGTCAAGAGTAGTTAAATCTGGAGGATGATTATGGGCAAATTTTGAAAATTGTTTGTTTTCTGAAATATATAAATAGCAAAAATGTATTTAATAAAAACCATTAAGACTAATATCTTTTATAAAACTCAGAACTTAAAGATTTTCTAACAAAGAATTTCAATATATTTATATCCAATGTCAAATGTTCAAAAAGCTAAGTAAATGGAACCAGAAAGCATCATAGTTCAAGCTCCTAGAATTCAACATTCAAATCTTCAGTCAGTTCCCTACCTATCCACATCTTAAAAGGGGAATACAAAAGCTTTAACTTTTTTCTTTTTAAAAGACCTTTTCTATTGTACTTTTCTATTGCACAGACTTATGTTACAGAAACTTCACCAAGTACTGACTGATTCATGCCACAATATGGATGAATTTTGAAAACGTGCAAAGTGAAAGAAACTAGTCACAAAATGATTCCACATATAAATATGTGGAATAGGGAAATCTAGAGAGAGAAAATAGACTAACAGTTTCCAAGGGTTGAAAGTAGGGAGAAACAGGGAAGTGCAACTAAAGACACTCACGAAAGAGGATACCAGAACTGTTTCAGAAAGTGGCAAGAATGATGGGATAAGTGTGTTCAAAGTGAGGGGGACTACTTTGAGGGGATTAATGGCAATGTGTCTTTTACTGCAATAATTTTTTAAAATTTAAACACTCACTGTACTTTTTGATCACACCTTGTAAATACTCTAGTAAAACTGGAACAAAAGGTTTTCAAGAAAAGTATTAGAGGCAGGTGATAAGTGTAGAATGAATTAACTATAGTTTTATGAGTCTCAGCTTAAAGGTTTATTTCTGTCCAACCCCTCAGACATCTATCTTCATTTCTGGGGGGAACAAACACATTTCTAGAGCAGATTCAGAACAGAGATCCAGCTTCACAGAATAAATAGGGACCATAAAAGCAAAAAGTTTTCTGGGCAATGAAGAAAAGAGTGATAACGACTATACTGTGAGTAACTTTCTTTCTTGGTTGAGGGTCCAGTAACTTTAGAGGCCTTTTTCTGAAAGCAACATAAAGGCTCAAACAAGCTTAGCTTTTCCAATGAATCTTGAATAGCATAGACAGGCTATGAGAGAGTGCTCTCCAGTTCCCCTCCTGGCTCCACAAAGATAGAGTGAATCAATTCCTTCTTTTCACGCCCATACTATCTTGAAAATGTACCATTACATCATCTGTCAGAGGTTTTACCTGTGTTTGTGACTCTCATAATTTTTCTCAACATACTTAAGACTCCTCACCCCTCACATCACAAACATTCCCGTCCTCATTTCCATTAGCAACACCTGAACTGTCTGCAACCTCTGCCTACCATAAAGGCCAGCAGCACTCAAATCCGTTCAGAGGGAAGCCAAAGGTAGACAGTAATTCCAGCTACGAGATGATATACCACAGAAAATGTCCTGCGTGTAAAATTATTCCTTTCATGTAAGCTTTAGCAATCAGACCCAAAAAGCTCTGTTATGGGTGATATCATTATAATGTTATTTCATGTGTAGAAACAATTGGAACATCCATTATCCCAATTTGATGTGAGGTTTCCTGCAAATACTCTGTTACTCAAGCTTAACCCTCAGCCCTGACAAACAAGAAATAACTGGGGCTAAATGGAAGCCTTGGACCTGTCATTGAAAGGCTCTGTGACTCTAAGCAAGTCCCTTAAATTACATCAAAGAACTCCCTTATCACCTGGGAAGTCAAACTTGTCGGTACATTACAGAAGATAAAGCTACTTTAACTCTCCCTCATCTACATCCCATTCTGAGACAAATGCCATTACATCTAACTCTCCTCTCCCCGACAGATGTGCAGTACATCACCAAGTTCTAGCTGTTTCACCTCTAAAATCTGAAGTCTTCCCTCTCCTCTTCCTCTCCAATGCCACTGCCTCCATCTAAATCACATATGGTTAATTTCTCCTGGGCATTGCAGAGTGTTAAAGACTTCCAAAGTAGAGAGAAGTACTCCTTCCATCTTTGCTCATCCTTCACCTTTCTCATACATGACTTCAGAGCACACTATGTTGCTTTACTCCTGTATCTGCCTGTCAACCGGCCTCCCAGCTTGCAGTCTTCCATCCTCAGGTGGTCCATCCTCAACATCACTGATAGCATTATTTCTACCCCATCACACTGCTGAGAAGGCAAATGAAGTGTATCATTCTCACTTTAAAACCTGCTGCAGAACTCCCACTGCCTGCAGAACAGAGCATGCAGCTCAGTCTTGCCCCTACCTTTCTCTCTCTAGCTGCCTCTTATGAATCCTACAGGTACCAGTCATGGTGGATGACCCCAGACACCCAGAAAGAGCCATTCTCTTCCATTTCCATGCCTTTGCACACAGTTGCCTTCCAAAGTATACTTTTATAGCTGGCATAATGCAATTTAGAGGCCCCCTCTATTATGGGCCCTCCCTGACTTAAGGTATTTTCATCAAACATTTGACAATTCTCTAAGTACTAGAATTCTGTAGTCATACCTTCCCCCAACAGGCTATGGAAGACCATTCAACGTCCAGGATCAGCTAACAAAGAGCTAAGGCCAAACATCCTGTAGTCCTCAAGTATCTGGTGGCTGGATTAGCCACCAGAAATGAAAAAAGGAAGCATGGAAGAAAATGACTGCTTTTATTAATAAAAGGGCATGAATCAGTAACATTCCATTAAAGCCCTTAAAACAGAGCTCCAAAACTACTTCCTATAAACCTATAAACCAAGTGGCTCTACAAAATTCCTCAATTCTCAAAGCTGTGCCAGAAATAGTTTATAGAATGAATATCAGTAACCTGATAGAATAGAGCAGTCAATGGGCCAAAGTTGAATTAAAATTCTAATATGATTCAGTTTGGATCTCTTCGTAATTTCTGTTTCTTTCCGTCCTGGGCCTATGGCTTCTGCATTACAACCTATACCAACTCCAATATTAGGCCGCTATGTTCCGGTAGACCAGTCCCTGAAGGCAGCCAAAAGCTTACCTGAGCTGAGATGCCAATGAGCAGCAGCCACTTCTGGTGCTCATCAGTTCGGTAGTGGATCATCTGGCACCCTGCCAGACTGGCATGTCTATCAAACATCTTCATGGGCTGGGAGTCACCTTCCATGCTCCAGTGGTAGACTGTGGTCTCAGTCACCAGACCAACAGTGTTCACAGAGACCCATTTCCAGAAAATTACCTCTTCTGCCATCGTATGAGACTTCATTTTACTCTTCATCTCAATATTAAAGATCTGAAGTGTCTTCCCAGCTAGTATTTGATGTGATGAATATTAGAGAAAGATAAATTAAAAATCTGCAAGACAAACTCTTACCCTCTTAATTCTGAATCTTTTTAATATTACTTTAAATCATACTACTTATAGTTAATCTGATTAAGAGGGAAAAAAACACACTGCCAGAGTAGTAATTAACCACACTTTGATGTCTAAATACAGAGAAGAGCTTCCTATGCATTAGATCCTTCTTCAGAAGAATGTAAGTTTGTGAATGTTTATAGGATATATGAATAAAATCAGAAATTAGTTCTATTGAAGCAACTATCAAGAGAATGAGTTTTAGATTGATTTCTTCCAGTTTTAAAATACTTTTCTGCTTTGTGAGGGGTGTAAATGTCTAACTATTACATTATTTTGTACACCTGAAACTAATTAAAAAAATAAAATAAAATACTTTTCTGGATAAATCAGCAAAAACATAAGACATTCTTCCTCTGTTTGGTGTTTCTAACTTTCAGAAAAGAACACAACCATCCCTCCAAATTAAACTAACTTCTCCACATAACAGGGTTATTTTGTCTAAAATTCTAGATCAGTACTGTCAAATAGAATTTCCTACAATGCTGGAAACGGTCTGTATTTGCACTGCTCATTACACTAGCTACATGTGGCCTTTAAGCATTTGAAATGTATCCAGTAAGATACACTTCAGGAATTGAATTTTTGCTTTTATTTAACTTTATTTAAATTTAAACAGCCTCATATGGCTAGTGCCCAGTAGACAAAAGGCTTTGACATTCATC